ACTAGCCAGCCGCTCGAGAACGCATGCAATGCGTTCCATCGCCAACCCTCCCCCCCGCTCGCCCACCCACTACACACTCCCTCCCTCCCTCCCTCCCTCCGTCAGTTATCTCTTGGCTATGATCTGCACACACACACACACACAGACAGGCAGGCAGACAGGGAGGCAGGCAGGCAGACAGGGAGGCTGCGTGCGAGCGGTATGCAGCTGGCTGCATATGTTCGGTGTATCTGCCTCGTGCAGTGCAGTTCAGTGCGTCTGTGTGTGTGCATCTACCTGAGTGCATCAGTCAACAGATCAGTGTGTGTTGCAGCAGATACATTAAGTCACCTTGCCGCCTTGGCTGATATAGAGATACAACACGTCACCCTAACCAAGCCAAAGCCACACACACAACCGACGAGAGTAGACAGACAGGGATGATTGTGCGCGTTGAGTTGATGTCCCTACCGGTCTGACTTGCAGATTGGTGAAGCGGTCGTGCTGCAGCCCCACACGCGTCAGCGGCACCAGCACGGCCGCATCCCTGGGCACCACCTGCAGCCGCAAACCCAGCAGCCGCTCAGCGCCCTCAGGGCGACCTGACACAACCAACCACAACACATACACACATCAGAGGTGCGCAGGTGCGCATCGCATCGGCTGTAGTGTGGTTCTCTCTGCCGTGTCGGGTGTGGCGACGCACCGGGTTTCTCCGCAGTGTATCTTGTTTTGCTGACGGCAATGTCGATGCCCGAGAAGACAGTCGACTCGTGACGCAAGTGGGGCTCAAAGTGATCTGACCCACACATACATACATACACGACGGCCACACACAGCATGGCATGGCATGGCATGGCATAGCGTTTGTTATGTGGGGGTGGTCGTTCGATAGATTATGTATGTGGGTCGTGTCGATTTATTGAGTTGGCTCACTTGGTACGGATAGCCTCTCGACGGTCTGGGACTGAAACAAATCCAACTCATACCTGCACACAACCACACAACACAGCACATTCATGACGCGATCGACAAGCACTTGGCCGTCATTCAGCAAGCTGAGTGACTCCCCTCCCCTCCCACCCTGCTCTGCTCTGCTCACCAGTCGTCGAGTTCCTTCTCGAGCGGGAATATCTGTTTGGTGGCAGGTTCGCCCCTGAGCGGCATCCACCTGAAGGTCTGCATGTCGACGCACCCCCTGGGGCTGTAGAGCGGCACGGCTATCTCCACCCTGTCCCCCACACAGACCGTCGCCACGTTCTGCACCGTCGCCACGCGCGTCTCGTCCCCGTGGAAGCGGCACATATCCCGATGCACCCACAGCTGCCGCGAACGGCCCGCCGGCAGCGTCTGGAACTTGTAGCGGTACTCGAACGGGCCGATGCGGGGCGGGCTGGTGCGGACGAGTGCAGGGGGGATGATGGGCGCCTGTGGGGGGCCGGGGGCGGCGCTGGTGGGCGCCTGGGGGAAGGGAGTCGGCGGCACACTAGTGTCCTCACCACTGCCATGATTCGCGTGGTGGGTGCTGTTGTCCTGGTGGTCGTTGGCAGCAGTGGGGGTGTGCCGCCCCTCACTCCCACCACCCCCACCCCCACCCCCAGCCGTCGCAGCAGCGGCCACCGCCCCGAGTGCGAGAGGGAGGGGGTTCATTCTGGCGGATGGGAGAGGGAGGGAGATGCCGACGGGCGACACGCTGCCGGTGGGCGTCTCTGAGCCGGAGGGCACGTGTGAGGGGGTGGCTGTCTGGGATGAGGGGAAGCGGCGGGGGTTGACGTGCGGGAGGAGCCGAAAGCTCTCACCCACAGTAATCGTGCGACCCACACACTTCTCAGTCACCTGGACATCAAGTCACATTCACACACAAACACACTCACAATGAGACCAAATCGGCTCGCAACTGTGGCCGACCCCACACAGCCTATCCTGCATACCCTGGCGACGATGATGCGATCGATTCTGATGCCGGGATCGGCCACGTGCACCTGCGTCCACTCCACCCTGGTGTGCTCCATCTTGAGGTATGGCGCGAAGCGTCGGTCGAACTTGCCGTCGACCTCCTGCAAAATGTCATCGACACCCGCCAGCAGCATCATGTACCACTGCGGGCACACCGCAGTGCAGCGCACGAACGACTGCCCCCACAGGAATGGGATCAGCCGGCGCATCACCGCCGGCTCCAGGAAGGGCATGTGGTTGGCGCGATGCCCATAGTAGGCAGACGGGGAGGGGGGCGGGGGTGGCAGCGACGACCGTGGCGAGTGTGAGCGGCCTCGTCCGCTGCTGCTGGTGGGTGTGCTGGCGCCTGCAGCGGACACAGCGCTGCCGAAGAGGTTGGCCGACGCGCGTGAGTGTGCGCTTGGTGGCGGGACCGTCTCGGGCATGGGAGCGCCTGGCGGGCCGAGCCGCTTGATGATGGAGCACCGTATCTTGAACTTGCGGTCCTCTTTCCGCGCGTCGAAGCGGGAGCTGCCAGACGACACGTTGCCCATCTCTCAAACGCAACAAAAACTACGATTATCGCCGGATCAAATGCTCGTGTGCCCCAGCGGCCCACAAAGGCCTGCAAGCTCCTGAAAAAGCATGCGAGCGGCTGGAGATCTACGAGCCACCGGAAATGCAATTGTGTACCAGGACGGTTTTCGAAGCCGGGAAGGACAAAGGAACAGATAAACGATCTCCGCTGTTTCCCGGCGGATTCTCGTGATCATGCTGAAGTGAGCATGTGCGTCATAGAGGCCGACAGAGGCCGATAGAGGCGTAGAGCTGTTGTGGCAAGATGACCATCAAGGGCTTTCACAAGCTGTTCGATGATGGACAGAGCTGCTGGCAGAACAAGACCGCCAAGGTACGCACACCGACTGTGGCGCCCTTGCAAACAACAGAGAAAGGGCAAACAAGGGAGGGCATGATCAAAACAGCATGGTTGTGCCTGTGTGCAGGACTATGCCGGTCAGAAGGTTGCCATCGATTTTAGCATCCTGCTCTACCAGGTGAGCCGCGACGAGTCAGACCATTCACTGGTTTCTTGTACATATTTGTATCTTGCCTGCCTCAGGTGTCGACGGTTGAGTCCCACGTGCCGCCCATGCGTACACTGCTGTTCAAGCTGTTGAAGATCCTGGAGGCCGGCATCATCCCCGTGATCGTCTTCGACGGCGCACCACCACGGCAGAAGCTGCGCACCAAGGGCGGCAGCAGCCTATCCAACCGTGACGCCGATAGACCGCTGGCCGCCTCGCCCCGACTCACACTCGGTGCCCCACGGCGGTCAAATTTCCCATCGCCACCACGCCCGCCACCCCCTCCCCCTCCCCCTCCCCCACCGCGCGCATTCCCCGCTCGCACGTGTGGCGAAGACAGCGATGACGACGAGTACGCAATCGTCACCATCGGCGGGGGGCAGACATTGCCACCTGCCGACACACAGCACATCGCGAGCACCCCTCCCGTGCCCCCAGGTCCGATGACCAGCCAGCCATCGCCATCGCCATCACCATCGTCCCCCCGCTCGTTCGCGCGTGAGAGTGAGGGCGACATCAAACGGCTGCTGGACATGCTGGGCATCCCGTGGGTGGCGGGGCCGGGTGAGGCCGACGCCACGTGCGCCATCCTTGTCCAGACGGGCAAGTGCGATGTCGCGGCGTCTGAGGACTATGACGTCATGGTGTTCGGTGCATCTAGGCTCGTGAGGGGGTTGTTGCAGTTCAGCGCTGCCGATAAGAAGCGGCGGACGTCGCAGAAGATTGCCCGGGTGACGGGTGGCGGGGGCGGGGGCGTGACGGGGGTGCGGGAGTTTAGCCTGCCTAGTTTGTTGGCGCACCAGCAGCTCACTCGCGAGCAGCTGGTGGATGTTTCGCTGCTCATGGGCTGCGACTACTATCCGGGCGTCAGCTCGCTCGGGCCCGTCAAGGCATCGCAGCTTATTAGGTCAGAGAAACGCAACGAAACTCCCAGGCCTTTGAATGCATGTGTATATGCGTGTATGTATGTGTGTGTGTGTGTTGGTTGGTTTATACAGGCAGCATGGGTCGATCGAGCACCTGCCGTCTAACATCAGGAGTCGGCTGCCCCGTCCCCGTGAGCTGTACGAGCTGCGGCAGCTGTTCCTCGCCCCACCCAACACACAGCAGCTGCGCCAGTCGTCCCGTAGCTACCACCTGGGCCCCCTGCCGGTCAGCAGCGACGCGCAGCAACAGCTGTATAGCTTCCTGATGGGCGAGAAACACGTATTCAACCAGAGGGGACACTTCGGTAGGTGGGCAGGCCACAGACTCCCTCCCTCTCACCCATCCGCACCCCCAACCGCACCGCCCATGCCATGGATGCTTTCGTGTGTTCAGAGAGCGTGGTCAATCGTATCGAGAAGCTGGCCGATGCGCGTCGGCAGCCCACCCAGCTGACCCTCAACTCCTTCTTCACGCCATCCCCCAAACCCAAGCCACAGCCCGGGCAGCGGTCGGCGCGCATGACGATCGGACCCACCCCACACCCCACTGCCCAACCCGCGGCAGCACCACCAGCACATGTGTTGCCGCAGAAGCGTGGGAGGGGCAACAGAGTGGAGAAGCCGCCCAGGAAGGCGGCACGAGGCGGCGATGTGGGTGGTGCAGGTGCAGGTGGTGTGGGGATTGTGAGGGGTGGGCGGGTAAGGGGAGGGCGACGATAGCCGCGCCTGTAGCGTCGCAGCGTATCGAGGTGTCCCTGCTGTCAAGCGATGAGGACGAACCGTGAGGGCCGCTTGATTGCATGCATGGATGGATGGATGGATAGAGCGTGTAGAGGATTTGTCTAGTCTGCTGTGTGTGCATGGCGGTTGGCGCGTGTTTGCACACGTGTTGCTGCTGACTTGGCGTTAGGTATGTGTGCATATGCATGACGGACACAGCCAAGTTCGATCGTACATGTACATGTCATGCCATAAATCGATGAAGGGCTGCAAATCGAGGCACGTCGCTGCCGGTGGTGAGCAGATGTATGTGTGTGGCCGGATTTTGTCCATTCCCCTTGTGTTATGTGTCTGTCCGTCCAGATGATGTTGAAAGTATTGCATTTATCGCATTGTTCGTACGTGTCTCTTCCGCTGCCAGCCTTACCCCCCCCCCCCCCCCCCCCCCCCCCCCCCT